CATTTTCTCGTTTTGGTATAACCTATAGGCGAATCCAGTTGCGAAATACCACAAAAATCCGGACTTCGGCCAGAATTTGCCGTTTCGGAGGGGATCCAAGCATCAGATCGAGCTGGAAAGGTGCCCATTCGATAGAGCTCGTCGAGTTCTATCTTGGTATACCATTTGCTCGTTTTGGTATAACCTATAAGCGAATCCAGTTGCGCTTTACAGAAGACGCTTGTTATTTTGCTTATTTTTTTGTCTGTATTTTTGGTTTTTTTCCATGAAGGAGGGGTCTTAGAAAAAAAGTAATTAGTGGAATCGATAGATCTCGTCGAGATCTATCTTGGTATACCCTTTTTACCGTTTGGTATAACCTACAGGCGAATCCAGTTGCGGAATACTCGAATCCAGCTCCAAGATATCCTACGTTTTAATACATTGATATTTTCACCTTTGGTAGAAAAAATATATTCAATATCATTTGAATCATTTTTTATTTTTCAATGATCTTTCTTTATTTTCTCTTATAAAATAATTTTCTATTCCAACAATTGATGTTTGAGATATTCGACGATGCTTCACTACGAATTAATGTTTCAAGATCAATACGATGTTGAGTAGCAGGAAATACCATTGTTAAACGACACCATTAATTATTATCAAGATCAGCTGCATAGTCATGTATATAAGCAGCATGTTTACAGACATTCTAAAAGGAAAAGTCGTTTTTTAATAAACGAAATCGAAAATGTCGTTCTATTTTTTTTTTTGTTATATACATAGATGAAATCGTTGATTGTATGTCATATTATCCATAAGAGTAGTTTTCCTATTGATTTTCTTTGCTTTTTTACCTGGTGGTTCATCAATGTTATCTTCATTATTGCCAGGTACTTCGTGTTCATCATCATTATTTATTTCTTCTTTAGATATATCCAATGCTATTTCAAAAAAAAAAAAAGAATTTTTTATTCGAAAATTATTTATTATAAACTGTTACTTTCATTAACAAAACATTAGTTGAAAGAATTTTTTTTTCTGTGACTTTGGTTATCATTTAATCCTAGTTTTATGAATGGCAAATATGATAGGGAAGTCGCTTTCGAGTTCAGACTATGCATATAGAGTAGGTCCTAATCAATTTTGAATATTCTGAAAAGAGTTCGGGCTCTTAGATTATTGTTGCTGAGATACTTCATTCTTAAATTGTTTTGTTAATATAATGCTGTAGTTTCTCCTCAGGAATATAAGGAAAACTTATTCTTGATGTTGAACTTGAAGGTTTACATAGAGATATACCTTAACGAAAATAATTTATTATGAAAGTTTCAAATCTTTTCATGATTTCGATCATAAGATACAACTATGGTAAAAGATTATCTTTTATATTGCTTATTGATACATCGATAGATTCAATGTTCTTATTTCGAGATAGAAGCAAACCAAAATACTTGAAACGTTTACAATAAACTATTCTCGTTAAGATCTGTTTGTATACAAAGGTTAAAGTTGAAATTGAAAAATAAGTTTTCCAGAGAAGGAACACGGCATTGATTTAAACAAAACTCTCAAAAATGGAGTAGCTCGGTAGCAATAATCTAAGAATTCGAATTCGAATTCAGATTATTCATAGTTCATTAGAACCTACATGGTGAACACACTTTCAACTCAAAAGAGATTGAACAGTTGATCAATTTACCTCGTTAGTTCTGCTGCGAGAAAATTATCTCTTCTCGTATCCGTTCAGGTGTGCGTCATGATTTATGATACGTATTCTTTCTCATCTATTGTAATATATTATAATAAACATGTTTCATCAAGAATGCACATTAACAGTACATAAGAATTTCACATATTGAAAGATAAGTCGTTAAAATTCATCATTTACAACACTTTTTTTATTTTAATAAAAAAAAATACGTAACTATAAAACTCAAGAATCTATCAAAAAACAACTAATTCTGAAGTTTTATTTCTCTTATTTATTTTCAATAAGATTAGCTGGTACATCATCATCAATGACATCTTCTTTAATAGTGATTTTTGATGTATTTGTTTGATCATTTTCATCTTGATTATCTTGCATTGTTTCTTCATCATCAGTTTTCATTTTCTTCATTGTTATTATTATTATCGTCATCATCATCATATTCTTTTTCATCATTTCTATTTGCTTTTTCTTTGGATGTATTAGTTTCACCATTAATTTGTTCATCATCTTCATCATCATCATCATCTTTTTCAGCTAATTCTTGTTATTCATCTTTATCATTTGAATCATTAATTATTATCTTATCACGAATATGGGCTGATCTTAAAAGAGCACTTGTTGTTAATTCTTTACGTTTTTTATTTATTGAACGACATAAACGTGAAATAAAATATGTTTCAAATGAACATATAATTTCATTTAATTGTTTTTTTTTCCATATTTTTCATCAAAATAAAATTCAATTTTATATGTATGTTTATGATCATTTAATTTTAATGAAAGTTTTTTATGAATATTTAAAGTTTTTAATAGTTGAGAAAATAAAAGACGAGACCAACGACGTTGTAAACGTTTTGCTTTACCTAATGCTGATGAACTATGCAAAATAGATACTTCCATTGTTGGTGTTTTTACCTTTTGAGAAGCAACCATAAGTAATTCACGAAGACGTGGAACACCTAATGTTACATTCATTTCACCACGACCAGCAAAATGAAAAGCTTAAAAAGAGAAAAATTTGTCAAATAGAATTGTTATTGATTGTTAAAAATAAAGAAAACTAGTGAAGAAATTTGATATCTCCGGTCTAGTTCAAAGCATATGAAATTTTCCGAATATTAATTCGTTTTCAAATAGAAGATCGAATTTTCACATTTTTCTATTTTTTAGTGAAATTCAACTAGTGGTTTATAGAAAAAAGAATAGATTCTATTGAATTTCAAGAACCATATAATCTATCAGAATTGAATGAAATTAGACCATAAAAACAAATGGGAGCTAAGATTACATAGAAAAATGAAAAATGAAATCTAATCTACTCAAGTTCCGCTGGAATCTATTGAGCTCCGACAGATTCTTTGATTGCTGAAATTTAATAGGATTTGTAAAGATGCACATTTTCTTCTTTAATTTCAAATCATAGTGGAATTCGTTGACTGATTATGTATTTGTTGGATTCCAATAGATCGTCATAGGTTTTCAATGAGCTTTAGCGCGCTCGAATACATCTCTTCTAAGACTCTTAATTTATTTACTTTGATTTACATATAAATCGAAC